ACACACACACACACACATACACATACACACACACACACACACACACACACACACACACACACATACACACACACACACCTATGTATTTACTCACTTTGCTCTCCCACCCTCTTGAAGGACCGCGACCAGTAAGTCCTCAGCCTGTTGAGTGAGGGTATGGACTGCTCACACCTTGTCTCACACAAGCATGCGCTGGGCCTCAGTCCGAATGCTAGCAACGTCACGACCATCACTGTGGCTGTCTGGCTAATGGACGTCACGTGATCAGCCATTGTCTGCCAACACAAGGAACAACACGGTGAAGTAACAGTTTTTGTGTGCTTGTTTACATCCGATTGCAGATGATTGTGAAACCAAAAGTTTTACGCCTCCATTGAAACAATGTCGGTGATTTAAGACGCTGTCTGCGTCGACCTTACTTACCAAGGTCAATCCAGGCTGGGTGGGATACTCTATAGTATACCATAATACAGGCAGAGATGCTTAAGTTTTTAAAAAAAGCATTTTAATATCCCAACTCTAGAGTCTAACTTAGTTCTCTATGTGTTTTAAAGAAGTCTTATTATTGCACGACATACTTTTGTGTGTAACGTTTTTGTTACTGGAAAGAAAATTAATGTGTTTTTATTCTGAGAAACGCGCTCAATCAAAGAGATCCCACGGTGTTATAGATTGGCCCTTCATCGCTTGTCCATACTTGATTTTTGTCCTTTATCTCCGTCTCTGTCTTTCCCATTCCCATACCCCGACAGATAAGGCCTACGAGTTTCGCCTCCTTAATGATTTAAAGTGTTGTCAGAGGGGACGTGAAACATTTACAATCGAGGGTGTTTTTTTCCCTTGAACTGTTACATTTGAATGAAAGAGCATTTGATAGAAACCGAGAAAAGATGCCACCTCTACGTCCGAGTTATTATTATGGCGTAACACAGCCACGCTTCTCTCGGAGAATACCAGGGTTTAATTTTAAGGCTTGAACATAAAGATCAGATTTTACTGTCAAAGAATAATCGTTTTACCAGCTTTTAGAAGTTTAACATCTAACTGTTTGAAACTGAAACATAAATGACAAAAGACTGTTTAGAAGAAATACGAATAAAAGCATGTAATACGAGTGCGACTTTTCAATTTGAAGACATAAAGTCAAATATAAAATAAAAATTAGTTTTGTTTTCACATAGAATCGCCTGACACAACTTCACCTTAAACGGAACTAATCTTGCTCTGACTCCGTAGAGGTTGATCATTGCAGCAAAAGCCAGCCAAAAATCTTATTTATTAGGGTTTGCACTGACTGTACTAGAGAAAGCTCTGCAACCAGCAGCCCTCTTCCTTTTTAAATGATATAAAGATTTCGACATACGTGGGATGTGGCAGTCTGCGTAACCTAACAGCGGGATGTCTCCTTTTTTCAGAAACGATTCTTTAAGAAGCTAAATCATGGATAATCTTTTTGTCTGGTCTACCGTGTTTTACGATCTTCCTGGACCAGAATGGATCACTATGACGTCAAAAAGACTCCCTCCGACTCCTCCCTCTCTGTCTCTTTTCCTTAATTTGTCTCTTTCTCTCTCTCTGTCTCTGTATCTGTCTCTGTCTCCCCCCTTCTCTTTCTCGCTCTCTCTCCCCTCTTCTCTCCCCCCCAACCCATCTCTCTCTCTCTCTCTCGCTCACTCTCATTCTCATTCTCTCTTATATTCCCCCACCCACCCCCATCCAACTCCTCTCCTTAACGCTCTCTCTCTCTCTCTATCTCTCTCTCTCTCTCTCTCTCTCTCTCTCTCTCTCTCTCTCTCACCCACACAAACAAACAAACACACACACACATACTCACTCATCCACCATTTCTACCCCCACCCCCTCCCACAGCGTACAAATTTTCACACGCCCATACATATCCACACAGCGACACCTTCTAACACTCACACTAGCATACATATATACTTACACACGTATAGGCACAGTCATGAACACGCAAACGCACACACACATACACACACACACACAGAGACACACACATACACACAGGCACACACACACACACACACACACACACACACACACACACACACACACACACATCACACAAGAGGGCGGTTCTCGTCACCTAGAGTTTAAAGGTGTTCATCCGGGTTGAATCTGGAGAGAGATGAAACCCTTTTTTTCTAAACTTTTCTCCTTTCACATCCTTTCCTGCTCCCTAACAATGTTCTGTTGTCTGATTTCGTCTCCACTTTCTGCCCCCACTACCTCACCTGCTTTGCCCCCTCCTCCAGGCTTCTGATTCTTTCTGCTGCCTTTCTACTGCTATTCCTTGGCACCTTCTTACTGCTGTCTTTCAGCCACACCCGTGATATTATGATTGGTAAGGTCTACACCTACCCTTCTCGACTAAGGGCAAAAAATCTCGGAGGTCCCGAGTGAAAGTTGAGAACGTTAAAGATCCCATGGCGGTCCAAAATCGATAGGAGTAGGCTTCGGCCGCCAAACAGAAAATTCAAAATTGTCTACCAACTAAAAAACGCTTAACATGTTCTGCTCTCTCATATGACCTTATGCAGTTGCGAGCGCCATAATATACTTACAACACACACACACACACACACACACACACACACACACATTGGCCATATCACGTGAGCTCCTCCATTTTGGCCGTTTATCATCAAGTTTGTATAAGTTCTGAAACCCATGTCATACCTTCATTGTATCAACATAACTCTTTTCCCCTTGAACAAGTTCAACCGCAATTACCAGCGGAATAACAAAATAAACCCACTCTGCACAAATAAACAAAGCTGTAAGACAAAAATATAGGCTTCTCATGTCGGAACCAGCCACCTCCCTTTTACGTCGGAAGAAGAAGAGAGTAAACTATATGAAACCACAGACGCTAGCTCCGCCGTGGGGAAAACTCATCATAAATAGAGTTCTGTAGTCTTCACAAGGTGTTATCTTTTGAAAGCGATCCTGTAACTGGACGACCGTCATATTCATATTTATGGGACGAGGGTAAACTGAATCCGTCTGCAGGGCATTGTAAATGTAATTTCTTCTCCTGGTCATGCAGATTATTTCAAGCCAATTCCAGACCATTTTTCGTATTTTTAGGCGCCCTTTAGTTGTTGCGTGAAATTCTGAGGTAAAAAAAATAGGAGTTTGAGATTTTGACATTTTCTCGGGTTTTGATTTAGAGCGCATCAATTTTCTATTCGAGGACACCTGCAGTTTCCTTGAAACAATAGCATCTGTCCTCTGTTGAGGGCGACGTGACTTATGAACAATGTGCACGTCACAAGTCACCGGATTTGGATCATAATTCAACTTTTATTACGAGTTGAAGTCTGCTGTCTGAGTGACTAAAGTCTATTTGTGTCCGTTGTCTGGTTATACTCGTTTTTGGGCTTTAACTAGTCAATGTTGCGTGTTATTGTGTGATTTTGCCAGGCTTCATCATTGGGTTAATGTGGATGTCGATACCCGAGCTAATATGTTGGTATTTTTGCAATTTTGTGACGTTGCCTTTTTTTCAGATAGAAGCGGAAATTTACATCGGATTTTAATACTTAAAAAGAAAAAAAAAATAATTAAAAAGTGTACTAGATCTACTAAATGCCAGGAAAATTTGCGCCGATTTTTTCAGATGGCATCGATCCTCCTATAGCATATAAGATCAGCACAGACTATAGTTAATTTTAGGTGTGCGTTATTATACCTCTTTCGGTCGCCAAGTTTCGAGGTTGTTTGTTTTTGGGTTGGGGTTATCTGTCTGTGTGTTTGTTGTTTGTTTGTTTGTTTGTTTGTTTGTTTTTTGTTCTGTTTTTTTTTCTTGACTATTGTTTTCTGATTCCATATAATTTACTGAATTAAAATATTAGATAAATGAGTTTTGGCACTTGGTGCTCAATGTTAACTATGTAGAGATAGAGGTCGTCATATTTTAATCCTGAGTGTTTTTAACGAACAAAACTGCTGTTAAAATCATTTAAACTTGATAAAAGTGGAGGATCAAAACTTGAACTGAAAACATCTCGTTGGCTATTTAAGTAACAAACTCAGCTTGGTAGAGTCTGCATTACTGCTATTTATGAATAAACTCTAGTCCAAGTACTCACTTCACAATATATTTTAGCAGAGACAGCGGCGACGGGGGGAGG